GAAAACGTTCATTGTCTAACGACATGTTTCATAAAGTGATTATAATTTGCATTCGTGTACTAGTTCTTTGTGGTGATCAATGACATGATCATCATCGGAAATTTGCGTTACTTCAAATTCTACAATTATTTTATTTTTGTGTGTCACGTGTGTTCGCCTTCAGGTGTGATCGTATTCTATCGTTTGTTTCCGATATGACATGGTATATCACAAAGTACATAGAAACATCGTTTTTTCACACTTCGTAAATAAACCGTTAGCACTACTATCGTAGGCTACTAGTTATCAGATGTAAAAAATAAAAGAAAAAAAAACGAACTCATTCGTCTTATAAGTGCGATATGTATCTCACGGCTAATTTATTTTCACCGTACAAATATTGTTAATTCTGGACCCACGGTTGAGCGTAACTAGCCGTCATTTATTCCGCGATAGGTGTTCGACCGGGGGTGGACAAGAATAACGATTGAGACGGACGCGGTCGTGTAGTACGCGAAAATCGATGCACCGCGTGATTTAAGGTAATGTTTGGTAACATCAGACGCACCGCGATAACTGCGTACTGTGGCACAACAGCGTTGGTGTGTACGCCACCACGAATAACAATAATAATATAATCATACAGAGATAATGTACTTTTCGTTCAGCAAAATAATGAGAAGAAAAGAGAAAAGCGGTCCACCGTACACTGTGTTTCCGATGCAATTCCATCGGTTCAATAGAAAAAAAAAAAAAATTAAAAATACGACAAGCTTTTGATCGTCTATAGCAATAATCGTTTTTTGACGTTTTTAATATATTTATTATGCGGCGCGCGTACAACTCGAACCGTTGTACAGTTATGGGCGTATGACGGTTTAGTGCTCCGTTAAAAAATAACACTCGTCTTCTGTTATTTACTTTCTAAATTACGATGGTGATTTGCATTCGTTTTTCCGACTATACGGGATTAAGTATTTTTTTTTTTTTATAAATATGTTTACGTGACCGGGGAGCCAGCCAAATTTAAAAATTTACGATGTTCACAATTTATCCCTGTGAATACCTCTGCTTTATAGTTGTTGGTGTCGTCCATATATATATATATGTAATAGTATTTTATTCGAACATTTCCGCTGTTCTATATTTCGCAAGTGGACAGTTTCGAGTTTTAAAATAAAAAATTCAATTATTTCGAAAACATGTCAATCTTCTCGAATAAAGGTGCATTTGGAAACATTCGAAACGATTGTGATTTGACGGCAAAAATATTTTATGTCATATTGTAATCACGATTTCAATAGCCCATCATATTACGTAGTACAATTATCGAATATGTATTGATTATAATTATGAAACGTAATTTTCATAATCTTCCATAGAACCTATGAGTATTTAGTGTAACTTCTGATTGTTACGTTTAAGGAGGTAAAGAATTATTTCAAACACGAACACATTATTGAATCACCGATAATAATTATATAATTAATAATTATAATTATTATAATACATATATACATTAGTTTTTGGAGAATTCGCTTAAAAATTAAACTCATTTATGTTAACTTTTTTTTAAAGTGAACACGTTCACTTTAAAGTTCTATGAAAAATGAACTCGTTAATTTAATTTTTTTAATTTTATATTAATGAACCACCTATCTGCATTCTGTATAAATGGACCTTTACAAAATGTATTAAGTACATTTTACTTTATGTTTGAAACCTATATTTAAATATATTATAATTAATACTTATTTATTTATACATACTTTTTTTTTAAATGGTAAATCAATTTTATTGCCCCAAAAATCGCTCAAATTCATAAAAAATATAAACGTCGTTCACGTTCACGTTCCATTTGAAAAAAGCAAGCGAGTTCGAGTATCGTTCACTAATTGAACATGAACGCGTGATCGTGTGTTCACAAATTACTTTCTTTTCAAACACTTATATGTACATGTATATGCAGTGGAACCTCGATAACTCGAATCAGTTGGAGGCAAAAAAAAAAATTCAAGTTATCGAAAATTCGACTTATGGAAAAACTCGATAACTCGAATCGACAAAAAAATTCGAGTTACCGACAATATTTTTTTATTAAAAAACACAAAGATTTCATTTTATAATTTTATTTATTTATATATATATATATATATACTAATAAATGTATAATATATGTAGGTATGTATATTTTATTTAAATATTAAAAAAGTATAAAGAAATAAATATGTATATGTAAAAATTGTATGTAATAAAAAAAATATAATGTAATGAATAAAGTAGTAATATTTTTTAAAGAAATCTGATATTTTTGATTGTTATTTATAGTTAGACCTATATATAAAGTTATCAATAATAATGCGGAAAAAATCTCTTATTCAATTTCTCGTTGTTCGTGAGTGTACTTACGTACAATCTTTAATCTATCTAATGCCTGGGCAAGCGTAGTATTAATTAAAGCCATATTATATCGTTAAATTTATAACTGTAACTTTTAAGCATTAGATAGATATTAATTTGATAATATTATTGGTTTTCAATTATGACTGTCGATATTTATAATTAAAGACCGGATATAATTGCATTAAAAATATCTTAAAATTTTACTAAATAGATGCCAAAATTGCAGTATAAATATGTTAAAATTTCAATGAAATACATTAAAATTACATAGTAAAATCATATCAAATATATAATCGTTAATTACTTACAATTACTTAATATTATGGACATCAATATAATATTTACAAAATATATCATTTTTCAGAATTAAAATTTATAATTATATACATCTTTATATTATGTTCTTGAAAATTGTATCGTCTGTTATTTAAAATATGTTTATATGAAAAATTACATGCAACGTTGACACTTGTTATCGATGCATATTTAAAATAGTTTTTAAAAATTGGGTTACACATTTGATTTCCTGTCATAATGTCAGAGTAAGTTTTAATAGTTTTATATCCATAATTTTTTTTTAAGACATATTTTAATTTATCTTTAACTATTTTTCCATTAGGACCGGGAATATTTATAGAAATATTTATACTAAATATTTTTATTTAGTGTGTATTTATACTATTAAATAATTGACTATTTAATTCTTCTAAACTTGTGAGTTTTGTGGATAACTCAGATAAATATAATTTTAAAAATCCTAAACTACATTAACTACTTGTAAAAATTTACATCGTTGCTATATTTTTTATGTAAAATCACTTTGGAAATAATAATATATATATTTCATCACGTGAAGTATACAAAAATTGCAATTATTGCAAAAATTTGCATTATTAAATTAAATGGGAAGACTATAATTAATCTGATTCGTATACAAATTTGATCAATATTTTTGATTTACTGGGTATCAATAAAAACTTGCCTTATCTATTGAATCCACTCTTTATTTATAATAATGCCTTTAGTTATTTAATCTTCGAGCTATCGAGATATGTACGTGTTATATATTATTATATAAAATTTGAGTTATAAGTGAAAATTCAACTATAATTACTTCAACTTATCGAGAAATTCGAGTTAGCGAAATTCGAACTATCGAGAAAATTTATCACGGGGTCAAGGTATTCCTTCGAGTTATCGAGGTTTTACAGTACTATGACTTACATTTACAATTCCCAGTTTAGGGAAAATATCAGTTAGGTTATCACTATAACACAATAGATCAAATTCACCGTATCACGGACAAAATTATCACTTCATTATAAAAAAAAAAAAAATGACTGTCCTGGAGTTTTCTTGGATATAGCTGAGGTCTTCAACGGTTTTCTTCCTCTTAATGGGACTATTATATTAAAGCATTCACAATTTTTAGTGAGTTAATTTTTATGCATGTAATAAGTGAAAATATTTAATTATTTTTATTATTACGAATGTTAAAAAAATATATTATTGAATGACTGAGAACTGTAGCATTTCAAAACTTTCTCTTTATTAAGTTGAACGATTCTTAGAATTAGTAATTTCATTAACTTTACATTTAGTTAAAAAACAAATCCAAGAAACATAACTTAACCGACTTTAATAAAATATTTCCTTTTTCGGATTAATATTTTGTGCTTTTAGCAGTATGTTAAAATCCCAAACATACTGCAGGTACCATATTCTTTCAGCGTGTCGCTGTTCTGAATATACTGATTGTTTTATATATTTCCAACCTGCGTTCTTACAACTAACACCCTTAATTATCTTAAGTATCTAGTTACGCGAGCCAACCCCTTTCTTTCTCTTTTATTTATTATGTCTTGATTACAGGTAATACGTTGTGGTTCAATTTAAAATTCCACGCATTTTGTTCTTTCTTTTAAATATTTACAATTTTTGCTCATTTCTTTTGTAAAAGTTTATGTCAGATGTATAATGTTGCTTTTTCTTCAATAGTATTTTCTTGACTACTACTTTTTATTTAATGGATAATAAGTTTCCCTGTTCACAAACTATTTATTTATTTTTCGTTCATATTCTCTGTTGATCCAATACCTAAGAAATGGGTAATAATGTAAGGTGTTATGCTGTATTCATCTATAAAAACTCTAACCACCAATCTTAAACTAATCTTATTTTTCCATTAATTAATGAATTAATAAATAAACTAAAATATAAATATATCCTGCTTTTTTTTTTATATTTAGTACAGGAAAAGATTATAATTTATTAGTTATGAACTTTTTCTAATTTTTTTAATTTTTCCCCATTATGTACCCAACCTCACGATTAATAAATTTGCAATTTAAATAGTACCTAACCTTGCGTACAACTTTTTTTTTTCATTTCTATCTTCTGTGGGCTTATCTCACTCTCAATTCTAATACTTTTTTTCGCTGTCACTCCATTACTACCCGTATTATTAATTTCGTCATTATTTTTATAAAAAAAAAACATCTTCGAGGTTAAATTTTAATTTTATGAAGCCGTATTTGAAATTAATAAACGATAAAATGTCGGGCCATGCAGTTTAGACAAATTATACAATACTATGAAGAAATCGTTAAATATCTTACTTTTTCGCCGCTGTCCGATGGCAGATAGAACGTTAACACAGTGAGGAATGAAATTCCCATACACGGTATGATGATGTTTACCGTGTAAAAGAGCGTTTTCCTTCTCATTGTTATGTTGAAAGTGATGTCCAAATAAGGTTCATCACAGCATGGGTAGATTTTCTCATTCCTAAAAATGAAAAAAATAAATTAAAATCGTCGAAATGCATTTATTTATTTATGTTACATATTTGATATTTCATATTTGATATTTGGGCAACATCGCTAGACGTGTGCAGTGACGCTATATTTTGGTTGGTGAGCATTCACCTTAGTATAGTCTTATATATATATATGCAGCTCAACCCTATTTAAATTTTCGCGGAACAATCTTTATAATGTGCAGGACAAAACGTCGATTTGTTAAGAACTGGTCTCCATTTCGTTACCGTCAGATATTCTGAAATAATTTCATTGTCTAGAGGTATATAGTATTATGGTACACATTATGTTCGTTTTGAATGAACTTTATCGCTCGTATTTTGGTTATAATAAAAATAAAAACATCACTTTGTACGCGAAAGGGGTGGTTTGCATTACGACGGAGACACGACGGTTTATCTTTAAAAATGATATATACTATCAACACACCCTGTATGCAAATTTATTTTTGATGTCTTTCCGGCTTAAAAACTCATTTATAAACGCAGTTTAGCCCAAAATAATCCGATTCGTTTCAAAACACGATTCGCAAATCAAAAAGGTTTTAGTAAAGTATCGTCTGAGAAAAATATATCAAAATAGAAGTTCTTTTACAATTCGTACACACGTTATCGAACTTTGCAAATAGCGATCGTCGAATAATATTGAAAAATAAAACGTATACATTTTTTAATGGCAAACGCTTATGACAAACACGCTTTACTTATAAAAAATCGCTTCAAAATCTCGATCGCTCGACGTATATTTTTTCTCGGTGACGATTGATAATTTTGAAGAGACTCGATATTGAATGTGCAATATGATGGATCGACCCGGACATCAAATTCGAACCGTGCTAAATGGAATTCGAAAAGTTCAAAATGTTACACGCGTGTGATCTTTCCTGTCTTCTTGTAGACGCTGACACGTCCGTTATCCGTCACTCATCTGTGTTCAAACACTTTGGAAATTACATATATGTATGTATACGCGTACACAGCAGAGTTTACGCGATATGATCGTAAAATCTTAAACGCAAGAAAAAAAGGGGGAAAAAAATCGCTGAATAATTTGACATGTTCCTGTTTGAGTTCAATGTCGCGATAAAATATTATCGTTATCGTTAATACAACGGTGTCATCACGTGTATTACGGACGAATTGTGCTCCGACATGTGTACAGTAGTGCACCCGATACCGTTGTCATGCGCCAGAACGACAAGATGCATGGAACTAGGGGGTGGTAGACGGGAATCCATCTCCGGGTGTAAAATTGTAGAGGGTATAATTTTTGTAATTTATTTATTTATTTAAGACTGATTTGATATTTTTCACTTTGTTAATACCGATATTGGGTTAAAACTCAAAATATGTGATTGTATATTAATTGTTAGAAAAAATTTCTTAAGAAGAGTATTTGATTATTGGTCTATGGTAGGTCGTAATTTTAACATTGTCGTCGGGCGTAAAATGTCTAGTTCCACCACTGCGTCATGGTTAGCATTGATGCGTTATCGCTTTTATGTAATCACTAGCACCCTGTGTGCGCGTATTATTGTGGTCGATCGGTAAAACATAATTACTCCGCATTTAGTTGCGGACAGTTGGACAGTTGTTTAATCGTAAGAATGCAAATCACGTGCCGCTCAACGAGTGCGTATTAAATCGGTGACACGCACATCGTGACGTATTCATATAAGATGATTTTTTTTTCTTTTGTCTTCTAAATACCACTGTATTAGGTACCGGTGAAACGTATCGTAAGGTGTGTTTAACACGGTCAAACGTACGTTTTGGATATAATAAAAGCTAGAAAGAGACGGGTGGCAAAACGGGAATCAAAACGTTATAGATACACGAGCAACGGCTAACGAATGTGGATAAATTCGTTGCGAATAAATAAATACAGTTATCCAAGGATCGTCAGGTCGAAAAATTCAAAATATTTGTTATATTTTGCTTAATGATCATACGATTTGAGTGCAAAACTATTCGAATATCGAAATTACAATTTTGATTCAAACTCTTATGTTGTTTTTGGTATATGAATACGGTTATTAATCAAAACGTAATTTTTCGATTGCCTGTAACTAACTCAATCTTAATTTATATTTTTATGATGTTAAAAAATTATTTTTGAAACAATTTCGACAAAAGTTAAATCAGATTTTAAATTAAATTAAACTAAAATTAATTCAAATTGTAGGTGATACTCTGAATATTATTAATATAAATAATACCAAATCTAAGGTATTTAAAACAATGGGCTTACTAAGAAAAAAAAATAATAATAATAATAATCATAATAATAAAAATTTTCCAAAGACAAACCGCAACGAAACACAGAAGATATAATATTAAATAAATCAAGAAAAAATGTAATGAAATAAGAGATTTTTTTTTTTTACCTTCAAAAGTATCTTTAACGTCACAATGTTATGCTATAAACAAGTAAAGTTTTTATTCAAACTGAAAAAAAAGACAAGTTCGCGCGCCAAAATCTAAGTTAGCCCGCATGATTCTTGACGTCGTATATTGTACATCATAATGTAAATAAAAAACTTTCCGCCCCATTAAAATGAATTAGTTGCTTTTTCTGAGTAACTCGAAAAAAAAATAAAAATAATAAGACATCAGGTCTTCTGAATATGGAAAATTTGTAGTTTTTTTTACGTTGTGCTACGAGCTAATGATTATACATTATGATATGTACACCGAAAGGATTTGGCGACGGTGACATGCGCCTAATGTGAACCACGTACCAAGAACAATAACGTCGATTTACACGTTGGCGTGTGTCGCGTACAACCATGTTTAAAAATGGAAAAGTGATGCGAGAAAAAAAATAAATAAATAAAAGTAATGGTAAAGCGATGGGGAGGGAAGAGCATTCGCAATTTAACGAGAAACGCGTTTCATTTTTATCGCGTGCTACGATCGTCAAACTCATATTTTACTATGTACACCGCGGTCCAGGTTTGTGACCTATAGAAAGTGGCAACCGTCAGCTCTTCACGAGCACATGTAGGTGTATCGTGATGTTGAATAATTTATGAGTTCCGTTATGAATATTGGAGCGTATGAGGCGAGGGAGCAAATGATACGCTGGCCCCCGCACACGCGTGTTTTTCTTTAACCTTTTTTTTCCCTCTTCTTTTCATTACTCTTTCCATCCCAATCAGCCACCACCCACATGATTTGTTTACGCTTTACAATTAATTTCAACATTACCTGACCGCCGGAACTTCCAGTATGTCCCATTCCACTGACATGTAAAACTCTGAGAGGTCCACTCCGACGTCAACGATGTTCGAGCCGACCTTCTCGTCCATGTGTCTCAGGTCTACCTGTAAAACGCCTCTTATGCATTTTTCATCGGTTTCATCGTATGCAAGAGTGAAAAATAGAAAAAAAAAAAAGCTGTTTATATAATCACTCGGCGATCCGTTCACATCACATGCACAGCCGAGAAAGCTACGGATAATGACGACGTCCAAGTTTACCGAGAAAACGTTTGAAAATGTATTGTTGAAGTCTTTATTTAACCTAACATATTTTTCGGACGATTTCATTGTATACAACGAGGTTGTTTATATCCAGTTCGACGGTCAAATAGTGGTTTTAATTTATGCCTGATATTTTTATTATTCGGATTTACGTACACCTCGTTGTTATTGGACTTCACGTTGTAATAACAATTAATAATAATATTAAACAGGATTTTAAGTGCAAACATTTTTAATGCTATAAAAATGTTTTTACAAAAATAAACAAAATTAAATTGTGATAAACGTTGTATACATTTTTCTATAGAAATTATTAAATGTATTGTTGTTTTAACATTTCATAACGTTCTCGCTAATGTCACGTTGCTGTTTTATATTTAAGCTAAGTGGTATTTCAACTTACGTACATCTGTCTGGAACGAATGCGGATAAACCGTAGAGTTTATTTAATAACCACACTGATGACCAGTCGATTGATCGATTGAAATCTTATGATAGGATCGATGTCGATGAATTCGATCGATACTCTAGCGATTATGTACGCGGTATTGTGCCACGATGGTACCGTGACTGCGGCTCGTGTGTTCGGAGGAGTTCGCGAATAGTGAACGGGGAACGGTTTTCGAGTCTTTCTGTAGCCAGAACGAATAAGGGAAATTCAACGAAATCGGGATCGGTGTCTCGAAGTGTTCGCGGGGCTCAAGCGGTGCAACGATATTGCCGCGCGGACGAAATGTATTCATACGATCTCGCTCGTTTTGCAAGAAATGAAAAAAAAAATTATCCATACGGATAAAACGACGTCAACGGCTTCCGTGCGCATTATTGTTTTGTTCGCATTCCCATTAGTTTTAAGTACTTCTGTTACACCACTCGCCTACCGTGTGTACCTAACTATTACCGCGATTGTTGAGCGCTCGCACGTTTCGTTCATCTGAATAAATCGTTATTGTTATTATTATGTGTGACCAAACCGTGGTGCAAAGAGAGATATTGTTTTGTAACGACCGGCATAATGTGCAACTTGACTTGCGTACTTGTATTCGAATCGTATCGAACCCGTACGGTTGAAAACTCGTAACGTACGGACGAAATTGCCCAAGAATCGCGTAACAACTTCGCGCGTGCGATAAAGCGTGTCCGGCATTACACTTGTCCACGAATCTGTTGCGTACGTTAATTGCAATTTTTCTTTGCGTCTTCAGTTGTTTGACTGGTTTGCTGCAGTTCTCCATGCTTCCCTATTGTAACCCAATTCCTTTAGTTCCTTGTAGCTATCCTTTCCCGTGTCAATCATAATTTGTTTCATATATTCTATCCTTGGCCTTCCTCTTCCAATATAACCTTCTACATCACATTCTATGACATTCTTCGTTAAACTATCATTGCGTAGTATATGCTCTAAAATTTTGTCTCTTCTATCCTTAATAAAATTTTTACTGCTATTATTAACATTATTATTACGATTATTATTGATCGTCTTCGCAATGGAAAAGTGTTAGGCTTTGCGTTTCCAGAAACCGCGTAGAATATTAGTCTTTACAATAACGTAACGCATAAATATATCATTATTACTATACGGCATGTACGTACATAATATATGTACGTAAAGATGCGTTAAGATGATAACGACGCGCGCACATATATTGTAACAGTAAAAATAATAATATATTGCGTTCCGTGTTTACTTGGTATTGTACGGTTATTATTTTTTTTACTCGCGTTCGGAAGACGGAGAAAAACAAATAAAAATGTATTATTAATCGGTTTTTTACGTTTCGAGAAGAACGCCGTCGTATCCGTAGCTCTTTTTGGCCATCACTGCAGCATACACCTATTGCAAGAACACGAAATAGCAAAAACATAAATTATTAAAAACTACGTACAAGCGTCATATAGCTGTGTAGCTCTAAATATGCGTTACCAAACATTATAACGAAATACATTAAAACCAATGCACTATAAACAAACGAACAAACCATGGCGCCTAAAAAATAAAAAAAAAAAAGCGTTTTGGTAGTATAATTGAATGTACCGTTATATATACTGAACGACAATATAATATATTATGTTTAACTCTAAAAAAATGTTACTAGGGGGAGGAAGTAATAATAAGTATACGTACACATTTTTCGGTACAGTTGATCGTTATGATGTACGCGCGTTACAGCCGGATAACTCAATTTGTTACACTCGAATAGTGCCCGCGAATGTTATTACAATAATTATGGAACGGGTGTTTGTTACTACGTCGGGAACGTAAATACTATAATACTGGCTTATAGTTTTCAAATCGAAAAACGTTCGAACGGAGTACACAACCATAACATTAACTTTGAAGTTATGGGTTATGAAGAAATCATTAAAAACGGAATCATCAAAGACGCCCGAGGTCTATTAATAAGGGCATTATAGTACTGCGAATATCGAGAAAATAGGATCACTGTGGTAATAGATTTTATATATTGCTCTTTACGACATCGTCTTCGAATCGTTTATCGACCCATTATAATTATACGCGACACGTTATATCGACACGGTGTTGTGTACGTTTCGTTCATCAAATTTTATATTCTTCCAGTAAACGAGAAATAAAAATGGATAAAATATTGAATTTTAAAAGTACGAGTACGTCTGGATGACATATATTCATTGGGTATAGATATCTTATTAGTTTTGTAGTTGATTAGTCCCTTTTTTACGGTTTGTGCTCATTTTTCTTTTAATTTCGATATCAAAAACGTGTTTACCGATTTTCAGTGGTGCACGCCATTATTACAAAACACCATCTATGTATATATACATATAATAAATATATATTATAATGACATATACGCGTGGTGATTAAGAAGGGCTAAAATTAAGCGACTTTGAACGATTATCGCGATGTAGGCAGAAACGAAGGACGAGCCACGTACACATGAGATTTTCCGGGAAAATATTTAACTCGGGAGTCAAATAATAATAATTCCTCTAGTCCGGCGTGTCCCGTTTATACGATTATCGGGATATGCGGGGGTGAAACTCCCTCGGTGTTTCGCGCTGCAGGGTCTCCGCGATGAAAACCTACGCTGAAATGCGTGGCAGTCTTCTCCGGGCGTCAAGAAATACACGCGTTATCGAATGATAAATAATCCCGTTGGATGTCCTCTGCCCGTGGAACAAATCGTAATTGATGTCAGAATTAAGGGTCACGCACCCGGCCGTATCGTGACCCTGGACACGAGGACGAAATGTTTCGAAAAGTTTCGGCGAGACCGGTCGGGCCTTGGTCGACAAAATCATCCCTCCCGTCGCCACCACCGGTACAGCCGACGGGGTGGTGAAAACTAATTAATTCGCAGGACTCAGCACCTACGTAGTGCGGATTTTAATAAATGCGCACGACAAAGTCTTACGCGTGCACAAGCTGTGATCCGTAAACGTAACGTACAGCTATGGCAATGCGTTCACGTATGGTAATGCGCAGCAGTCCTTTATCGGGCTCGAGCAAGTACGGGAAAAAAGGTACTCGTCTGCTCGGTTTATGATTTCGAGGTTGGAGAAAATGTCATGGAAAATAATAATAATATTAACCTCACACGGTTTCGCTGTTAATGTTGATGAACGTACGAGTCATTTCACCCCGGTTGATAATGAAAACAATTTTACCGGTTTTGAATGAAAAGTATTTAGACGAACCCGAAAACTCTACCATCTTGTTCATAGGCAATCGTATTTCCATAAAAACTCACAAATTTGTTACCTCTAATAGGCTAAAATGATTTAAATACCTGTATTTTGGATGTTACCACTGTACCATACGTTTTAAAACAGCTACTCGAACTCAAAACCGATAATACGATTACGGTGATCGACAAGAAAAACTGGTCGTCTCTCGATGGTAATAATTTGATTGTTTATATCGAATTCAACCGATATCATTGGATATTAATTTCGATTCGTCAAACCTTGGTTTCAAGAGTTTTAAATCTACGAAGAAATTAGCAGCTGTATTGTTTTGGTATTCGTATTTCCAACGGATCTCGAATAAAATCATCTACTCTAACTATATTATGATTCACGATTTATCACAATATGATAACATCTGAACAATGTAACAATACGTTAAATACAGAAAAATGGGATCGCCAATGTTGATTCATTTACTTATTATATCATCGAATAACGGTAATACGTTGAATAACGAAATACGATTATTGTTTATTATGACTGTACGTTATTTTGAAAATAGAACGTGCGTGGGAGCGTATATATCATACCATATTGCAGTACGGACACATTCGAGTTTTTCATATCGAAATAAACCATGAACATTCGTGCAACATAATTTATTCGGTTTTTTTTCCGCAGGTTATTTATTTATACGTTGGACACCTACCCTTGTTATCTGTTGAAGCAATTCTGTTTAGTTTGCGGTATTCTAATACAGTCAGCTTTATTTTACGATAAAGGTACGAAAATGGCATTATTTTTTTTATTTTTTTGAAAAAGTATACTCTATATCCACTTGACATTCTAATGTTAAAGATTACGAGGGCGCAGTGCTTTGCCGAAGAAAATGGTTTTAGTGATCGTATAAGACGAGGAAACGTCGACGATAAAATAAAATAAAACGACCGTATTATTTTATATACCTACCGTACAAGTTTTAAAACGTTATTATACTGTACAATTTCGTGTAAATCGCAAAAAATATTTTCCCTGAGGCGTGACATGGTTTTTTGAAACCAATAAATTATAATATAATAATCTGTATCAATCGGGCTTATCTCCAAAAGTAAATATATGTAACTCGAAGTTTTTAAAATTCAAACTTCTTTGGTTTTTTCATAATTTAT